TATTCTATGCTGAATAAAGCTGAACGAGCACATATTCAACGTCTTATTGATTGCATCAATTGCTCTTCTGTTATACATCTGACAAAGCTTAGATTGTTCGCGATGCTTTGCGATGGCCCAATGTTTTTAGGATAGTGCTTGATGACTAGATGACTTCGTTCAATGAGATCAATTTCCGAACGGTACAATGCTATAGTAGGTAATTGTAAAAAGTATCTGTACAAAATATAATTCACGTTTGATATGCGGGAATGTTAGCAACGTTTGTGAACTTAGTACTAGTATCAATTAATATTAATGGCTTTGTAATCACCTGACTTCAAAGCTTCGTCCGATTTGGAAGAGCCATGTCTAATTACATCGCGGAAAGAATTCCGAAAATGACGTTTCCTGCTAATTACTCCTTAAAAAACACGCCCAAGTTTTTGATTTTATTGAAAATGCGGGAAATTAGATGATACTCGACACTTCAACGCCAATAACGTGAACGTTGATGTAATTTTAGGGGATGGTTGGGCCAAAAACGAAACGGAGCATTCGTTACAGGTTAAAGAGCCTTTTTCTTCATTCTCTTTGTTTATTCAGATTGTACAGAATACTAGAACACTGCTACATGTAACTGGAAGTACAAATGCAAAGTGCTAAACAATGATCGACTTGGTCGTGAATTGATTGAAATTGAAATTGCAAGCTTTCCCGAAATGCTAACCTTGGCAAGACTAGTCTCATGTAAAATAACATATAGCAAGTCTGAACATTGCTTCCCTACAAGACGATTGATTGTACATAATTAATATGACGATAGACGCCAAAAAAAATTCCACCGAAATCTTTACCCTTTATATCTGACTATTACATGCAAGATTGTCATAAAGAGTAATATCAGGATATCGCAAAAAATTCGTATCTACCATCTGCCCACAAAATTAGCCGAATGAACCAAGTAAATGCGTAAACACTGAAACGCGAGGTAGATAATTCCCCTTTCTTTCATTTGTTAAATGAAGCCTGTCTGCTTCTTAGCCGGTGATATGGACGCGCATATAAGGATAGTACATTGCGAGGGGGTTGTCTTCGTAAAGTAGTTCTACTGGCAGCCGTTGATTTGTTTTTAGGCTTGGTAATCTTGCCGCTATCCTTTGATGATCGAGTAGATCTGACGCTTGATGATCGAGCAGACGTAATGCTTGATGATCGAGTATAAGTAGGTGTGACGCTTGGTGATTGAGTGGACGTGATGCTTGGTGATTGAGTGGACGTGATGCTTGGTGATTGAGTAGACGTGATGCTTGGTAATTGCACTTCGTTGTCGATATGTTCTCCCACAATCATTGATGAGCTTGGATATAGTGAATGAGATGAGAAAGCGCCGAGCAGGGAAGACGGCGGCACATCATTGATCTCTGCCTCGTTGATTTCTTTATTATCGTATGGATAGTAGCCGGACACTTGATCGATTGCCTGCATTTAATCATGTGATGTTAGTAGCGTTAATACCGGGTCATAATCCGTGGAGTAGTTGTTATTTTCGCCCGTATATCTCTCACTGACCAGATCATAATCCAGCTGATAATTAATATCCGTGTGTTGGATATTTGTATCCTCTTCTTTTGTCTTATCGTCTCCTGTCAATATGTCTCGCATATTGAGGTGCACCAAGCCGTCCATAAAATGAACGGATTCGATTGACATTTTGGTTTGTTGGTCAGCCAGTACCTTGGCTGCATTGAACAAGAGGCCGATGGCCGTTGACGACGAGTCTACTTGAACCATATTTGAAAGAGGTGATAAGAATAGGCAATGAGAAAAAAAAGCAAGCGTTATTTATCAGGACAGTTTACGTGATGGGGGTCCGTGGGAAATGTAGCACGAGTTTAAGTGTGAGTGTGGGAAGATTACAAAAAATATATTAACAAATTAAAATGTCCGATTTATCAAATTATCATATCAAACATTTTATGATGTTGGTGCATACTAATACACATCTCTTGGGATTCTTAATAGACAGTAGTATAAATTGAATAATCAGCATATGCTTATTCACATCACTATTGAGATTAAGGATGTTAATGTTCTCGATTATTTCAGCAGTTACGTAATAGTATAAGTCGACTTGGACCTCGACAGAAAACCCATACCTCCTTCCTTCCCTTCTGTCTCGTTCTCGTCTATTTCTATTCATTAGAAATTGGAAATTTACGGTCATTATTCAGCAGCTTTAACCCAACTAACGCTATATCTCTAAAGTTACCAAGAATCAACTGGTTCTTGTTTCTCGTCCTCGACAAGTCAACCGGATTATATAACTTGATTTTAGGCTCCGAATATTGTTGCATGCCAAAAAAGAAATGTTATGTATGAGATACGAAGATTTCACAATATAATTGCAAGGCAATTACCAAGGTCTAATAAATAATGTCAAGTTGTTAAACCTAAAAACCATCTATGTTAGTATTTTGACTACGAACGAGCTCCAAAAAACTTGTGCGGAATAATTCTCTCTCTCTTTATGATTAACAAAAGTAAAAATTGGACCAGGTTAGAATGTGTTCTAAATTAAACCGAAAATGCCTGCGGTTTTGCCTCTTGATAATTGTGAGTGTTACCTATTACTATTGCTGCGTTGATACTGAAAACAACGAATTTAAAAGAAAGGGGGCATATATAATAAAAAGAATAACCATTAATAAAAAGAATAACCATATATTTATTATAAAAAGAATGACCATGTATTTATTATAAAAAGAATAACCATGTATTTATTATAAAAAGAATAACCATGTATTTATTATTGATTTATTCTTAATTGTACTGTTTTCCATTCTGTTCGGTTTGCCAACAAAATAAGCGTACATTTTTAACGCCCCACTGGCACTAATCCATTCTTTGGTAGTCTGTATAATAGAGTAAATCTTATTCATACACGGTATTCGTATAGAACAAAAAGAATCCCAGTCTTGAACTTCTTTAAGAATAGTGATGCCATTATTTTCTCCAGGAATTGTAAATAGCATTGACCAATCACACTAGAGCAATATGGTGCATATAAGAAGTCTAAATATATTATTATTATACGCTTTAAATGGTTTAGCTGTTGCAATATGCTATTGTCAAAATATGGGGTTCAATGGATTCCCTATTTCCCCATTGTAAACGGCCTATATTTTTCTTTGTTGCGTGTGAAGGCGTCATGGCTGAACTCCAAATCGGTCTACCCTTCAAAATAATCTATCTAGAGGTACAATTGCCAATTTTCTATGTAATACCACTAACTATGGTTTTCAAAACTAGCATAAGACCATCAATACATCATTCTTGTACGCAGTGTAAAACTTTTGTCCTTCACAATTTGGGTGACAAAAATAAATGACGGCGATGTGATCGGAGTTGAGGGAACAAGAAAATGTAAATCGGTACTAATAGATTTCCTGACAGATCATCCCTTGACGGGGAAGCATCGATCTAACCGAAACGGAAACGATGTTACCATACGATGTAGCGCATAGGTTGTGCTTCTTTGTCTCGCATGGACGTGTGAACACCATTTGTTCACCTTAACGATCGCAACCGATTATTCTAAGCGATGAAGCGGCTCTAATCCCCGACCGCACGTAATTCTAAAAATAAGAATAATGCTAATTCTACTTGGGTAAAATGTCTCAATCTTGTAAATGGTATGCGCAGTCGCTGTCTTTAAACGGTAAGTCTCACTTCCGAAAATTGCTTATGGAGCGAGACATAACAGTCGTTAATTGAAACAAGATATTTCTTCTAGAATGATGCCGCATATCTTTGTTTTTCGGCTTTGACAATAGTCGCGAAAACGCATGCTGCGGGCGGAGTAGAAAGTCCATCTAGTTTTGAAAAAACCATAAATTGGCAAGGTTTCCCTTCCGTGTCTGAACATCAACTGAAAAGACCTTGTAGCATTTCGACTGCACAGAAACTTATCAAACACGCTTTTTCAACAAATTGCAATTTAACCCAATATATACACAGTATTTCGTAATCTCCCTAACCTAAAATGCGAGCAAGTTACAGGAATAGTAAGCAATTTAGAGCTTTATGGCGAATTGCTATTAATACTGAAATCAAAAAGATTAATAATGAATACGAGATACTGCCTACGACCTTACCGTTAGAGGATCTGATGGCTGGTTCTAAAAAAGTTTGTGGACGTAAAAGAATTGGTAGACAACAAAACCCATTCATTTTATTCAGAAAAGACGTCCACGCTGAACTAAACAGTGGAGGTCAGAAGCTAACTGTCGCTGAGATATCACGTATAGCTAGTGAAAGATGGTGGAATGCAAGCGACGCGGTGAAGAAATTTTTTGCTGTTCTTGCCCAATCAGTCAACAGAATCCACAAAGAGTTATTTCCCCACTATCAATATAAACCCATGGCTAATAGAAAAATTAATAAGAAGAACGGTAAAAAAGGACGTGGGCGTAAAAATACTCTTGGATCACAATCAAAATCCAGACCAAGTCACAAGCTCCCGCTACCAACGTCTAGCGAAGAAAATTCGATAGTTACGGACATTGACATGGATGTCAATACGGATGTCAATACGGATGTCAATACATCCAACAATAAACCGCTCAAATTCTCCTCCCCCATAATATTCATGGACCAGTATTACCCAACTGGTATACCTTCAAGGAGCGATGAAACTCAAAGTAGCGACGTAATTCCAAGCACCAACGTGACTCCAAGTGGCGATGTCTTTTCAACAAATAATATACCATTAGCCAATGAATCCATATCTTCGAGCGATGTCTCTCCAAGACATAATATGAATGACATATTTTTAATAGACAATATATCTTCGAGCGATCTGCCTTGTACGCAATTCAATTATCTACCAACCGTACCGAACATTCCGTGCGATGAATATGTAAATAATGGAAATAGTCATAGTATATTCGAAGAGTTTGATCCGTTTGATTTTAGTTCATATGGTGATTTTGAGAAACAAGATTAGTAGTAACAATCGTAACAGATTGTAGAAAGACACTATCACGCGAAGTTTTCATAGTTTTTCATGTATACTTTAGTTATTATTTTTCATATACTAGGGGGTTTTTTATTCAGTATATTTTAACATCGATATTTTTATTCAACATATTTTGACATCGATAAGCCACACAGAATAAATGACTATTTGCATGTGAACATAGTGATGCGCTTTTCCTTTTTCGACTGACACATATACCTAAAAAGCGTCCTTCTTATTGAACCAATCAAAGTGAACCAACTTGCAATATATCGTTTAATTCGACATACCCAGCAACGTACATCTTTAATTATGGTTTAAAGGATCGGATACGATCCAACCCAACCCTATTATCTTAATTATCGCTGGCAAAGGACAGTGTCTCTTTGTGTTATAACATAAATGATTAACAATGGACATAGTCGTAATTTAAAAGACAATGTAATGCTCGATGGACATTTCTATTATTATAAATCCTCGTCTTTTCATTCTCCTGTACCGTTTTCCTTTCTTCCATACCATCCATCGTTGCCCCCTAGATCGACATTTACAAAAAGCAATGCACACTACCCGATTAGATTGAATATCGAGTTTGAATAAAAACTACGCGTGAGGCACAGAGACTGGCAAGCGATGATGATACAATGAGGCATTAGGAGGTCTAGAAAGGTTGGGTTTATTATTTGAAATCGCAAGTCTTTTATTAAGACAAATAGACATTGGGACGAGCAGTAGGAGCCTAGGGTGGATAGATAGAGGAAGGATACTTCGTCCATTTATTGGCACGAACTTAGCTTGGAAGATATAAAAGAAGCATGTGTGATAAAGGGGAAGTGGATGCTTGTCGAACAAACATAATTTGCTGGCGCTTCCAGCCGAGTTGGCGTAATAGATTAGAAGGAGGATTGGAAGTTCTAAAAAAAAGTTGCGGAAAGAAGGCCGTTAATTTGCAAATCAGCCTGCAGTCGGCGATGCACAATTAGGCCAACAGGTGTAATACGTAAACCGAAATTTGGAAGAAATTCACTAACGGCAAAAGGGGACTTTCCATAATACACGAGCAACATGGACTAGACTAAACACATCTCTTGGCTTTTGTTTTTAATAGTCGAATCCAATCATTTACCTAACATAGAATTTGAGCCCGGTCCTATGCATAAGGAAGGATAGTTAAATGATACGCTGTCTTCGCCCGCAGTAGGTAAACTTTACAACACCTATTACCAAATTGCGCGCGCTTATCGAGGAAGCTAACATTGTATTTATAAATACATCCCCGCCTCCAAAAGCAAATATACTTCAATAGAAACCCACCGAAAAGTCCATTGAGACCTGTGTACACATATCTGGGCCCGGCATAATGCTGCGCCAACTATTAGGAGTGTAGAAAATATGTCATAGTATTGGAATGATGAGACGGTTGTCAGTTGGAAAGCAAGGAGGATGTAAGAAGGCTGAATATATACAATCTGCTAGCGCGCATAGACTCGGCTGGCATGATAGTGAACTAGGTGGGGGAAAGCGTCAATGGAAACGCGGACAAGCTAGGATATAGGGGTAATTCGTAATTTCAGCATCACCAACACCAATGCCCCATCTTTTTTACTCGCAAAAAAAAATGCAAGCTCCGTGCCACTTTTGTTCAGTTTGTGCTTATTGCACGCGGGTAGCCTTGGACAGGATCAAAGATATTAAGATAAGCATGAGCAGTTATACACGAACATCATAGGTTCTACGTGTTCGACAAACTTTTTCCCTATCCTTTTTCTTTAGTCTTCCGAATTCCCACACATCTCAACCTACCAAAGCTCTCATTTGGTACTGTAGCCATCCTTCAATGCCTGGTGCAAGGCCGAGCTATCGAATGCCATCCATTTGACAAATCACTTTCTCTCTTTCATACACCTCCCCTTCCCCTTACTCCTCATTCTAATAATGCAAAAAATCCCTTCTAGCGTCTCCTAACTCAAAAGACATTATCTTCTTCGTCGTCTTCTTATTCACCGACCAGAACTCAAATCTATACCAGACAAACCTTCCGACCACATCTCTTTTTTTTTTAAAAAAAAAGTTACAGCTTTCTTTTCAATCCAATGATAGTCCCTACATAACGCGAAGGTTCTGCGAATTAAGCGTAGGCTTTACTTAGATCATCGTTGAGTTTGGTGACGATGCGCTATAATACAATTCGGTTTTAAAATTTACCGATTGAAGGCGATGCTTTCATGCAAATAATATATACTGAGTAGTAATATGCTCGAATCTTCGATTCATCATATCGCTCGGCAATAATTGTAAGGAGATGAACAAAAGATTAATATTATACCTTTAAAATAGTCATCGATACGTATTTCTTGTCGGCATGTTTTTGGTCGATCGGCTATTGCTTGATTAAGTAAAAATAGTAACCAATAGAAATTAACGCAAGTATTCGTCGAATCATGAGAAACGCGCTGTTAGTATCCTTCTTCCTGTCAATCATACTTAATTCTGCAATGCTTTATTTATACTAGTAAGTATTATTAGGACCATAGTCGCTGGATTATTTGGTCATGTTTGCAAAAGGACACGGATTCTCGTCAACCAAATTCTAAACCTCTTCATTCGAAATCTCTCTTTAACGCTGATAAGCCGACGCGAATATTCCGGACTTATTTAATGTCTTATATATTAGAATCGTAGCCTATTTATACGATAAACGAGTACGGTTGCAGATGACAGGTAGTTTTCATTGCCAACTAAGTAAAAATAAGCATATATCAGCGATTTGATCTAAATAGAAGGTAGTTCATAAATGAAATTTCAGACGCTGATGGCATCTAGAAACCGGAGAATTTTCTCCTATCTTTGAACGTTTAATCGGGGTCAGTACGCGTGAATTGTCTAGATAATGGGATTAACGGCTGGATAATACTCAACGGGAGTTCTAAATCGGTTTCATTTTTATAATTTTTTCTCCTTTAGTCTCTTGAACCTATGCCGCTTTTACCCCATCATAAAGATTAGAAAAAGTGACCGAGTAGAGAAGATGGCATTTCATCTAACATCGAGTTGGGGGGATAAGAAGAATTCTCCACAAGAATATATTGTGACAAGCATCATTGGAAAGTAGAACGGATATACGAATAGACATTGGAAAGACGATGTTGCGCCAATATTAGGAATGTGAAACAGCACCTAGAGTTAGGATGTGTGTGGAGGGTTTCAAGGGAATTTCATCATTAGATTTAATAAGGGCGTGGTCGGAGATGAAAAGTCGCTGAATATATGGAATTTGCTGGCTCTAATGAAGATGAAGGCCATTCCCTATGGAAGAGGAAACATAGAAAGAATGTGGATGTATAGAATTCGATGATGTCAATGGACGCGGCTGGTATAATGCTTTCTTGCAGTCATTTGGACGTGTCAATCTTGGTTACAATATTGAACAAGAACTTTGAAGATTATATATAATCTCTCCAAGATCCAACTGATAAAATGCATAATAATAATAAATCTACAAATCTCGGCCCACATTTAATATTTCACCAAAGTCTTTGGTGAAAAAGAGATGGGTATATACAAAACAGAAACAATGGGTATATATAATAGACAATACAAGAGACGAGCATTTAAAAATGGGTTGACTTCTATTTGTGCAAGTAATGGTCAACTGGTCTCGCTCAATGACAATTCAACGCTGTCCGCGACAATCAACGCGACAATTATTAGTATTGTCCAACGAATATGTTTTGTGGAACAATTCTTGACACATTCATGTTTGTCGCTCCTCCGTCCTTCCACTTGAGGAATTTCGCAATTTGGCGTCCTTGATGGACAACTATTTGAAGAGTGTTTTCTATTGTTGAGGGTGCCATTTTTCAGTAGTCACCTAACTTTGGGAATTGGGATACAATTGGTAATGTAGAACTATTGTAAACATTACTGGTTTGTTGGTGGCATCCATTATTCAAATGCTAACTACCACCTATGGGCTTTTAATCAGACTGGCAGTTTACGTGAAAGATTGAGCATTATCAATGTATTGTCAATAAACAGAAGGGAGGGCGGAAGAAATGTGGAAAGCTTTAGAATCACAAGCAACAGGGATTACCAGTCGTTTTGCTTAATCTCTCAACAATAGATTGGCGCAATTTTAAATGTAAGCAAGTATATACTGGATATACGCGTATTGTTCAACATCTTTGTAAGATAACAGTTGTTCTTTGCGACCACACACACTCAATTAATAAGACCATATGGAATTATAGCTACAATATTATCGGTTGATGCTACCATTGCAAAACACAGTAACATATAGACAAAGAATCCTGATACCTGTATTAGGAAGGGGGAATATGTTCTGAGAATGGCAATTTGAATAGAATATTATATTTGATAGTGTACAAACAGACGTATCAAGCTATTTTTGAACGTTTGTGAGAAGGGGCATATTAATGTACCAAATATCGATCCATTCTTCGAATTTCTTCTGCGTATTGTACGATAGTATTATAAATACCCTTTGTTTGATACTAATTAATTAAAATCTACCAGGGACATAAACAGGTTTACGCGATCTATTTTTCGAATCTTCTGTTATGAACCCCATTCGCATTATTAATGTTGTTTGGGTCAAAATTGACCAATAGCATAACGGGTATACGCGTACTGCTTATCGATCTATCCTTTTTGTCTGTGGGGGGGAATGTTAATATTGTTCTAAAATTAATACAAACATTAATATTATTTTCATTATCAACAATAAACACGTACGGTTTACCAACGTTTTTTATTAAATGGTGCATCTTTTCTCTTTTCCAATTAACAATCAGGTTGAATGGTAAAAAGCACAAAGAAAAAGACAAAGAATTCTTGAACTTGTTTACGTACGGCATGAATATGGAAGAGAAATTCCGAACCCAAACAAAATTAGATTTTGAATTCAGAACGTTCTTCTTCTAATGGATAGAATATACTAATACACGAGTATATGTCTGATGTGCATACGCACGATATATTAAGTACACATTTTGCAAATTGCGCTATAATAATGGTTTATTATTTGTAAATATATTGTCTTTGCAGGTGTATAGTATCTATAATAAGGTGTCGTATTCTTGCGTATCACCGGAGGCCACTTCCGAAATTAAAATTAATAGCGTTTCTCCGTAAAACAGGGACCCAATCAATTGTTCAGTTCATATTTATGAATGGCAAGATAAGATTTGTGTCAATTACAAATAAGGTAAAGAACATTGGTATTAACCTGTAAAAAGACAAAGACAAGAATAAACTTGCAACAACCCAAATCAATGACTATAATTGTAATAATTACGTGCATTTTACTTGGTTCTTTTGCTACTATTAATAAATTTTTTATAATTGTTGAGAGCATTTCAAAAACCTTTTCCATCTGCACAGCCATTCTTTAACCGTGAAAAGTTAGTCGGAATATTTTGTATAACAATGACAGGAGTTTATATAATCAAGGAGAAAGCAAATGAAGTCCGTTGACTATAGATCCATATGAATAACAAAAGTAAATATCTTCTTTTATTACATCTTTCTTGGTATTGATGATTAAATTTTAATAAATTCTCAATTCCCATCTAAACAGAGCTCTTATATGTAAAAGACGGAAAATTATCGGTGCGAAATGGTTCATCATGGGTATATTCAATTCTACTTTAAAGTCGTCGAGAAAACTCATTACTCACTCTTCTCTTTTGAATAGATACAAATAAGATTATTAAGATTATCCAACGGCAAAGTCGACAGATTGCGCATATAGTGATGGCTCGTAAAAGAAACTACAGTGACCTCCTACTTCTATGGACAATTAAATTACGTTCGGTTTATTTCGCTTTGAATTATCGACACATATGTGATCCCAATGTTTTTCCAGAGGATCCTCTGAACATTCTGAATATTACACGTACCGATACACATTCACTCCAGAAATGGACAGATCATCGATCGATGTGGGGATGAACGAGTGTGTAAAACATACCAATAAAAGTTAACCAATCGCCCTATTACCCAATCGTAACTTGTATGTCGGTAAACATTGTGACCTAGAATTGTTATGTATATTAAGACTAAATAGTGCGTACTAAAACAGGCCAAAGATTAGTATCTATGGCATTTTGCAAAGAACTATTATGAAACTGCTTCTCTCACATCTTGAAAAGGTTGGGGCGGCGTAAGTGGAGATGTAGCTGGCGTTCTAAAAAAAGACAGGTTTCAAAATTTAGGTTGTAGCAATGGGACGGAATAACAATAAGATAAGCCATCCACCCACCAGAGTAATTTTCCTGTCCCCGATGGAAAACTCTTTTCGTTATCATGTGTATTGCACTGAGCATATTATTCCGAAAGGGCTGATTTTTCCACTCAAAATTGCACGCAATATTCAGCCTGTAGGAATACAGTCGTAGACTTGATCATACAACAAGAGTTATTTACAAGAATATGCGGAATTTCTTTGTCTCTGTGAACAAACTCTATTACATAAATGATTAACAATTGTTGTGGCATCGTGACATGGAAATTAGGGGGCTGCTCGAAAAAATCTAACGCTATTTTTCCCGTCCACCCGGAAATTGATATACTGTGCAACTTGGTCCTCTCAACTCAAATAAAGAGAAAAAGGACAGGAATGAGAGGCATTTTTATATTAACTTGACATATGACTAAAATAAAATCGTTGGTCGAAACAAAAATAGCTGAACAGAACAGGCAGGTTAGAGTAAATTTGTATCTGACAAGTACAACATTTGTACGCCATCCGATGTTTGAAAAAGTAAGGCACATGGATAAACATACGATGAATATGGCCCCCAAGGTACAAACAATAAAGCATCCTCGAATATGTCTAGATGATGAAGCACTATTTAATAAACTATTACTACGACAATATCATACGAGGAATAATATCGGCTACTCTGATTTTAGGTCAACCGGAGCTAATAAATTATCAATTATGCAGAAATTAAACTCAGTTCCATTTGATAAATCTGGCGAACAGCTAATGACAATAGAACAAGTGCAAAATATACAGAAGTTTATGGGAGAGAGAGAGAGAGCGAAAATCACGTTTATAACGAGGTTTCTTTCATCCACATAATACACGTTAGATTATCGAACGGAAAGACATTTTAATAGCGTTCTACCTTTGTGATCCACAGAAGGTAGCAAATATGCAAAGGGAGAGACTAAAAAGCGCGTGTTCTTGCTACCGTTACCGTTATGACATTTTGCTAGTACTAATTGGAGAATAGTAATAGTGATTACACCATCGTGTCTTTTGAGTAGAAGTGATCGTAATTTTAATATTATGTCTTATTGTTCGCGCCGTTATGTCGATGAACCGTTATATCGACTTTCACTGTGCCCTCAATGATAACCAAACAATAAAGACAAAATATGTCTGTGGAGAGAAGAGGGAGAAAAGGCGCCTTGCTCCCTGATGGAAAAAAAAAAAGCCTTTTGAAGACGAAAGGGTGAAACTACATTGGTTTTGAGGGTGCTGAAGGAAGAGACTACCAAAAAAGCTTTCCGGAATTTTATTTTATAACGATGAACGAGTGGAAGAAAAGTTGAAGAATGACAATGCATCATAATCAGGGTCTGCTGTCGACGCGTCGATACATATATTTTAGCCTTCGATAAACCTGACGATTAAATCACTTCAGCTTGCCAAGAACGTTGTAAAAAGATCGATGCGATGTTGCAAAGGTTATAAAAAGCTAATACCAATTAGGAAATTCATACGACACAATAAGCGTACAATGCATATGCGTAGCTGAAATTAATAGTAATAAATGCAATTATTTAGTGTTATCAAGTTTTCATACTAAATAAAATACTACGATCAGTGGTGAGACATATACTGTACTTCTTCCTCTTCCTCATTTACAATCTTGTCTTTCGGGACTATGGAATCATTATTTTCTAATAACCTAGACATTAACTTATTCTTTTTTTGTAAATTAAGGCTGTGAATAAATGCAATAATATTTGTGAATAAACCCTTTTCTACTAGTAAGGGTTGTGTTATGTTCCCCTCTCATCCTCCACCTTGAATGTTAGAAACATCATAATCAGTAATAGTTCTCCATGTATGAAAGACGAGCCATATGTTAGAATTCATTACAAGGTCATGTGGAGAGATATTACAGAGATTAATAATGATGATTTACCGAGAGCATGTATACAGGGATCACACAACGTTATATAAGCAATCTTTCAACAAAAGTTAATAGTGGATACATTATTCATATTTGTATATATATTATTATGTTTGTATATATTATTATGTTTTCAGAATAGCTTTGAAATGGGAGAGGGGTTTTTACTATCTTAATCAAATATCTTATACATTTGGGCACGATCTGCCAAATTCCTACTACTAATATTATATAATACCCCAGTAACTTCTGGTTCTTCATCTTATACGCTAAGCGCTCTCCATCTCGATTCCAAATCAGGAGAGCGTACAAGCGTACATGATTCTGGGTACGTACCAGCGTCTGCTTCAAAATTGTATAATCTCTAACATCTTTCTAACCGGTATATTGTGCACGATCCACCCCCTTTTCGCTATCGACTTACTCACTCCTGCCTAAGTCGTACACGATTGTCACGTACTTGGAGAAGCAATCTGATGCGTGGGGAAGACGGAGCTTTAAGTGTATTCGACGTGGAACATTGGAATGAATGCCAGTTTAGTTTGGAGAAAAGAGACTGTAGGCGTGGTTGGATTGGGTGTTGTGGAGAGAAAGAGTGACGGGAAGCGTGTCAGTAGAGATCCAGGAACGAAGCGCTGGGTAGATTGGAAGAACGCCTAGGTGCGTGCGAATCTTGGGTTATAACAATGACAAAGTTTTCGATCGATTGAATAACAATGCAGATAGTACATACTATTAATTCTTTTCGTCACCGAGGGATATCCTTTGCAGGAAAAAATAAGCGTAGCAGTGTGGTACACTCGCAAAAGTTGGTTGGTTGGTTGGAGTAGTGCACACCATAGCTGAGGGTCCGAGATTTATGGTCTTTGTATTTTTCCACGATTCCATAATGAATAGATCTAATGACTTGGAGTCGACTAAAGTACAATTTGCTCGCATTGTCCCGTACGATTCAACGCCAAAAAATCGGGTAAACGCTCCAAACCCCGATTAAATGCTTGCAATCCAAGAAAGTCCTCCGGTTTCTAGATTTTGTAGAACAGAGCGGTATAGTCAGCATCTAACATTGTATGAAGCTACATTTCAAAGATAGCCACTAATGAAATTTAGATCAAAGCATCATTACCAACCTACACGGCTAGCTACTGCTGCTGGCGATGAAGGTCGGATAATTAAACTCGTGACTTAATATGAGTCATATATGCAAGGCCGTAGATGCAGACTTGACATTAATCGGTTGCTCACAATATTAGACGGAATCATTGATCATCGTCAATTAGAACGTGTTGGCGTTGACTGTGAAACAGCGTGATCATTGGATAGGAACCTGATGGCAGGTGACATGGGCCGTTAGATGCGTGTTCAGAGTACTCCTTGCAGTTTTGATTTCCGTAATTGCTAAAATAAATACAGTATTAGATGTATACAAAAGGAATATATTCTATCCATGTGCAACTAAATTACCTAAGACTCCCGTGTTCGAATGATGCTCCAAACGGTATACTCAAATAATCAATCATTACAAGTGTCCAATTCGAGAGATTGAGATCAAGTAATATAATCCGAAGAAAATATTTGGGTATTTGCAAGGGATCTAAAAATGATTACGGATCAGAAATCACAGACTTGAACATCATTGTCCTTACAGAATTGCGGGGGCCGTACCTATCACTCTCCTTGAGTCTTAACTCTATTTCTCGCCTTACCCCCCCGCTCATCGCCCTCTCTTTCTTCGTCTGCTTAGCACTGTCGAAACCTCAGAATGATGGAGCATATTGGTGTATGAATGAGTAAAGAGCCGTCTTATCAAGCTACCTTACGACGCTAGGCAATAACATTGCGTGTTGCCGAAACTGTTCCTCATTTCATCGTATTTCTTAGCCAGTATTTTTATTTTCATTAAACTAGGGCAAATTCCATGTTGGTGGAAATAATTCGCGCCGGCGAATATATCACCCATAATTGGGTCACCTGCTAAAGAGGTACTTGTTTCGACATTTGGTGCTGTGAATTATACAGTCCGACCCGCAGCCTTCAATTAACCGAAAGAATGCGCTGTAGCGGCAAGTTCATATGGTCAAGGCCAATACCAAACTGGCAATCAAACTGAAACATTGGGACTTTCGGAATGTCGTCTCGTATAATTTGCTGGTTACCTTTGGTCCAATGCGAATCTACATTCACAGAGATCCTTCGACGCTTTCACAGCAGCAGCAGCAGCAGCAGAACCTGTGAGCTGTTGGACTACCTCAATGTTTCTGCATGTAGTTTTGTTAGGAAGAAAGTTCTACCATTCTTGATTTGGACGGGAAATTTATAAACTAAATTGGAATCAAATCGGTCTAAATTGGAAATCGGTCTAAATTGAAAATCAGGGAAATGAACGAAGAATTCGCTATATAAAGACTTATACAAATTGACCTCTGTCGACAATGAGGCTTTTATTTATTGTTACCGTCTTTTTGCAATTCAAAATTCAGGCAGATTCATAGACTAATTATAAAGTGAGAATGCCTATTATAATTAGTTTGATTAAGCGACATCAAGTATATCAATACTAACACTTTGCGCGAAACAGTAATGGCATTGAACGGCCAAAGAAATAGTAAGCAGAATGATGGTTCTGAACTCAAGACTTGAAGCAAAGGCATTGCCTGTTATGATCGCTGAATTATAACCTCAGATCTGTCTGATCAAAAAGTACGTGAGTATCTTCAGAGGATGCTGGTGTCAGCAATGAAGAGACGAAGAGCTAAACCCTATTGGTAACTTGATGTTTTGGACATTATACATAAAGTCAGTTCTAAATAGTTATAATTCTTTTTATTGATAATAATAATAAATTCTTCGGAGCAATGCATCAGCATGTCTATATATATACAGGTGTGGAAAAGATAATCTTAGGGAAAGCAGCTATGAGAATGTGGCTCTGTCTATGCACGGACAGAGAAACGTAGGATGCTGGTTGGGAAGTATTCAAATTGAATTGTTACTGGGAGTCGGATTGTTTACCAAGATGTACCTGATAATGTCTTGATTGAGGCTAAAACAAATAACATGTCAGAAGACATGATGAAGTCGAGCTGACATGACTTGTGGATGACTGACAGCAAGATAAAAGTTTGGATAAGCAACTATATGTTAAATGAGCAGTTGATATTTACAGCCACAAGAATATACACACCCGTTGAAAAAGCTAGGTCTCTTACTCTGGCATGATTGATGCTCAATTGGATATGAGCCAGGAGGATCCAATCTTTGCCGAAGCACCTTGGGCGACATGTGAACATTTATGCCGTAAAATCGCCGACATTGTTGGTGTTTCGCTGCAATTGCAGCGGCCGGCGATTTTACACAAGGCATATTTCATCCTTGCGGTATGGGCCTTTTCAAAATTCATCATGCTCAAGCGGGTGGCTAAGCCTAAAGATGACAGAAGCCCACTTGACGGCTCCAACGTTAAAAAGAGCGCACACGCTGGGCGGTTCCCGGACGCTAGTAGCTGAAAAGCTGCTGTTCAAAGAGTATGTATTAATACCAATCGTTTTCAAATAGGTTATATTACATTATATATTACGTACTCACCGTTATAGATCCGGGAAAAACGATGAGACGAAGAGGTGATATAAGGATCGGCACCTAAGGGTGAAGGGTTATATATGGGCGGAGAAAAAAATCACAAGACAAATTGACGCAAATACAACTTGCACCTTGGAATACGGTTTCGTTGCTAGGAAAAAGATAGGGATTCAGTCAGTTAACTTTTGAACAGGTAGCAAAGATGCTCCGAAGGTGTCGACGCGTGAAGGTCAGAAAAGCGACGGGGACTCCAACTTTTAAGAGTAGTCCCAGCGGGTGGCGTCAGTGATCATAAAGGTAGTTAATATTTCAACTATTAGTTTTGAACTAGTGTTTCAGCACAAATCAATAAAACACATACAGTGTGTCTCAAAAATAATTGTGGTTTATAGTACGACCATTATTTTATTAATAAATTTAGACACGCGTTGTTTACGTGTCTTGGTTTGTTATTTTCGTATAAAACACCTTCTGCACTAACTGTAAACAAACCTTTACGTTAAACTTTTAATCGTTTTGATTCTGAATTAACTTTGCAATGGTAAATTCTCGACTTGAAACCCAACGTCAGACCATACTACATTTCTAGCAGAATATATCCGATCTCCCAAAGAATTTCTGGAATTCCTATTCGAACCATTGAATATAATCTGAAAAAAGTCAAAGAAACGCAAACTGTAGCGCATAGAAAGTCTGTATGTCAGTATGTACGACACAATTCTGCAGTTTCAACAAGACAGCTGGCAATACAAATAGAAAATAAGTATGGTGCTGTAATTTCACATAATACTGTCTGGAAGCACATAAAAAAAAGGGATAGAGTTCTGTGCGTGATCAATAAAGGAATCTCAAGAGTTCTGTCCGATGCTTACGCAAAACATGTTAATGCACGGGCAAGAGCTCATATGAACGATAAATGGCATAATACTATATTTACAGATGAAACTGCGTTCGACCTCTTCAGAAATAAAGTTCGACGTTGGCACCAAAGTGGGGCAAAACCAGTTAGTAGATTGCCCAAAACACGACAAAAGGTTTTTGCTTGGGAGGCATCTCTCTCCGAGGAAAAACGCCTCTATTTTGTTTTACAAATACTATGGACAGTCAATTTTATGTCAACATTTTGCAGGACCAGCTGCTCAGAGTATGTATCACAACAAATGGAGGCTGCAACAGGACAATGATCCCAAGTCGGGTTACTAAAAAATTCTTAGCAAACAAGCACCCCGTCTGCATCAAATTCTTCGCATCGTTCTGAACAGTTGTCGTTACCGGATCAGTGGGGGTAATAGTAATAGTAATAGCAATTGACTGGCCATCAAATAGCCCCGATCTTAACCCCATTGAAACTTGTGACAAATTATAAAAAATAATGTTGAAAAGAGAATGCCTCAGAATATTGAGCAGTTAAAGCAGTTTTTGGCAGAGGAATGGGAGACGGTTCCACAACAGCACATAGTTAATATTAATATGATTCGGTCAGTCAAAACACGTTGCGAGCTTTTTTTAGAAAATAATGGGAATAGAATTCCGTACTATGTAACAGATTAGATGTAAAGCTTTAAATAAAAGTTTTTTTAGCTCGTTACCTATGATAGACGCTGAGTAAACCCAATTATTGTAACCACAATTATTGTATCTGCCCGGAATCTAAAACGATATTTCTCACCTTGAAAAGCATTATAAATTTGCCCCAAGTCGAACCCAGAAATTGAATATTCATATCTGCAGATCGCGGCATGAATTTCCCGCGAGGCGAGATCAAAGACTTGATTCAGACTCACAAGTTCGCCCAGTTTCCTTCTAGACCAGAGCGCTTATATGATATCGACATCATACGGTCACGAAATGTTCTCTTAAAGGTAATTTTTATTAAATTTTATTCGTCGAATTTCACACTTTAGGAGATATCGACCCTATAAGCTTCTTAAACAATGTCAGCTTTGAAATTGATACGAGCAAACGCAGATGACTTATCTTTCGACGTCACTGGAAGGGCAGGACTTTCGATGATGGTGATGCACGTAACTCGCTTGGCAAATTCGATGGACGTCTGAATATTTTATTAAAGGTCAAGTAAAACAGATCTACCGTTGCATTAATTCTACTGTATAAAGCGATGAGGCGAGGAAGTATTGATGAAAATCGATGGATTTTGGCTGGAATTAGTAACTCTTATCAATTCGGGAAATGCTGTAAAATTATTTGGCGTCTATTCGAGAACATGGCTTAGGAGAATACGAATCTATTAATAGGTGATCTCAAAACGAACCACAAGCCTTCTTTATTATTACTCTCAAAATACCACATGGTGGTTTTATGCATCACAATAAAGTGATATAAAACTTCACTACTATGCTTCGCTGAGATTGCTTATTTGACCAATCGCAACACATAACCTTATGAATCGTTTACCATATACCTCTTAATACAAACCAACGTTGCACACTTCTGGTTGATTTAATTCAGATTAAAATAGTAAATTGCGCGTTTGCAACTCCTAGCTCTGCCGCTGATTCATCGCCTTTTGTTCATCTCTCCCCAACCCAATTCCATTTTCATAGCATTGTCCAAGATCGTATTGTGCTTCTGCGTGTCCTTGAGAGGCCGCAACGTGATATACAACTCGAGGGCTGTTTGCATGTTTTGCTCTATTTCAATCCCATTACGATAGCATATAGCGAGAATATAGATGCCCCCACCACCCCACTTCTAGCAGCTGTATGATACAATTTTACGGCCAGTCGGGGGTCTCGTCTAACGCCAATGCCTTCATATTCACTGTAACATAAACCAAGAGAAAATATTGCATGGGCATATCCTTGTCTTACAGCTTTTCTAATTAGTTTGATCGTCTTTTCCCGGAACGTCGAATAGATATCCATACCAAGATGATGCTGTGCTTCAGCAAGTCCTTGTCGAGCGGCTAATCGCAACCGTTGTGTTGCTTTCTGTTCGTCCTTTACTACCCCCTTTCCTAACAGACACCCTGGTCGCTGCTTTACGGTAAAGTTCAAAGGCCTTTTCCTCGTTTATTGGCATCCAACTGAGCTTGGACAAGACTTTGGTCGGCTGGTTTTTGATATAGTTTCGATAATTCCTAGGCCACATGCACTTTCGTAAATGCACGCTGTGCCTTGGCGTGACCCTGTTTTTGGCTGCTTGTGACAGAGCTCAATTGTCTTTTGAATATACTTTTCTACCGATTGCGTTAAAATAAAATCCAGCAAGATTCTAGCTGCGATTTTAAAAAATAAAAATGCTACTCGTTCGTTTTTCTCAATTGCCATCTCCATTATAATAATATACAGCAAGATTATGCAGAGCAATAACATGTCCATGTTGGACAGCTCTTTGGTGGAAACTGACCGCTCTCATCTCCAGTCTTAGGGCATCAGCATATCCAGCTCTTCGATAGAGTTTCTTCTTAGGTCATCTCCAATCTTATAACAACCACCCCCAAGCGACACAGGGAACGAGCATTACCCTCCCTTCGATATACTTCAATTTCTTGTCTCGAGATAACATTTCGGATAAGTTGTAGTGGTATGTCGTATGGAATGTTGTAGGGTATGTATTATATGCTGTACGGCATGATCCGTTTCTTGTGGTATGTCGCCTCGTCGGGTGAACTCGCGTATTTAAGTGTATTCTGGATAAATAATTACAATAGAACATTCAATATAAAGCGGAATATTATTGTTTGTTGAAATTATAACTAGATTCCATGCTCTGCGCCATTTCCATTGCCAATTTAATCAAGATATATTATTTTGGCAACAGACAATAATAGATTTACATACCATTTAATTCGGCAATGGAGTAAAGACACCTGTTCTGATATCGAATGTGCCATTTTAGATTCTATCCAATACCGCACGAGTATCGACATCAATGTGATAGCGAGATGAGGGCGGATATTTGCTGCGAAGATCGTCGAACGACCATGTGAGTTTGCATATCCAATGAAGCATGAATTGTATACACCTTTTGGAAGGTGATAGTTTTGGAGCGATTGGAATACGAGAAAGACGGCCGAGGAATTTTGATAACTGGAGAACAAATGCCATCGTCATAGCCTTGTTTAT